CAGAGGAATCATCTGGTTCCTGTGGTCTTGTCCCGGTGGTCGTCTGAGACAAGGTCTTTACAGGGGATCTGTATCTGGGGCTCATCTAGTTGTCCTGGTCTCCGCTGACATTCAGGGATGTCGAGGTCATCTCTAGGTGCTGATCCACCATCATGTCTGGATACAGACTGGATCTGGTGGCTACGGTGACCTCGGAATAAGAAAGAAAAAGACTAATATTAGCGTAGATGCCATTCTTCTAGCGATGTAGCAAGTACATCGGGTGTTATGGGAAGTGTTCCCGGTTCCGGTTGAGCATTACAATAATCTAACCTTGAGGTCATAAACGCATGGATTAACATTTCTGCATTTGACATTGAGAGAATAGGTCGTAATTTAGATATATTTTTGAGATGGAAAAATGCAGTTTTACAAATGCTAGAAACGTGGCTTTCTAATGAAAGATTGCTATCAAATAGCACACCTAGGTTCCTAACTGATGACGAGGAATTGACAGAGCAGCCATCAAGTCTTAGAGAGTGTTCTAGGTTATTATATGCAGAGTTTTTAGGTCCTATAATTAACACCTCTGTTTTTTCAGAATTTAGCAGTAAGAAATTACTCATCATCCAGTTTTTTATATCGACTATGCATTCCGCTAGTTTTTTCAAATTGGTATGTTTCGCCGGGCCGCGAAGAAATATATAGCTAAGTATCATCAGTATAACAGTGAAAGCTAACACCGTGTTTCCTGATGATATCTCCCAAGGGTAACATGTAAAGCGTGAAGAGTAATGGCCCTAGTACTGAGCCTTGAGGTACTCCATACTGCACTTGTGATCGATATGATACCTCTTCATTCACTGCTACGAATTGATGGCGGTCAGATAAGTATGATTTGAACCATGCTAATGCACTTCCACTAATGCCAACAAAGTTTTCTAGTCTATTCAAAAGAATGTTGTGGTCAATATTGTTGAACGCAGCGCTAAGATCCAGTAGCACTAATAGAGAGATACAACCACAATCAGATGATAAGAGCAGGTCATTTGTAACTCTGAGAGCAGTCTCAGTACTATGATACAGTCTAAATCCTGACTGGAAATCCTCACAAATACCATTTTTCTCATTTTCATAATTGTGAGGATACTACCTTTTCTAGTATCTTGGACAGAAAAGGGAGATTCGAGATCGGTCTGTAATTAACTAGATATTTGGGGTCAAGTTGTGGTTTTTTAATGAGAGGCTTAATAACAGCCAGTTTGAAAGTTTTGGGGACATATCCTATTTTTATTTTATTTATTGTAAACGTTATTTCTAAGTGAAGCAACGTTTGCTGAAATATCCACAAGATACAGTATAAGAGTGCACGGTCATCTGTCGATCATTTGCGCCTCAAAGGGGCATTGTAAAACGCTTAAAGTTGCTTAATGCGTTAAGAGAGTTATTTTTAAAGACCAAACTCAGTAAACATTATTAATAAATTATAATATGTAATGGTTTTCTATGGGTAGAACACTTAACGCGTTAAACGCATTGCGTCCTTATTATGAGCTCATTTGCTTGTCTGTACATTGAATGCTTTCATATTAATGATGTGTTTTCTGAATTTGGTCTTTTAAAAACACTGCCTTAACGCATTAAGCCACGTTAAGTGTTGTCCGTACGGTAGGCTATTCTATGGGAGGAAAATGCTTAACTCGGAATTAAACGCATTGCATTCTTTTTATGGGCTCATCTTCTTGTGTGTACATAGTATGAATTACTAATAATGTATATAATGAATTTGGTCTTTTAAAAACACTCTCAATTAACGCATTAAGCCAGGTTAAGCATTTTAGAATGTTCCTGTCAAGGTTGCGTTTGTTACTATAGCAACAGTAGACTCACTATGCATTGTGTTTTAAAAATCAAACAATCATTGTTCAAAGAACCACTTTTATGTCGAGATCATGAGAAAATTTAATCGTGATAACGAGAAAACAACTTTTATGTCGAGATCATGAGAAAATTAAGTCGTGATAACGAGAAAACAACTTTTGTTATGTCGAGAACACGAGAAAATTAAGTAAAAAATTAAATGCTTAAGTATTCATTTTAACTTTTAATTTTTACATTTAATTTTAAGTATATTAAGTATTCAAATTAAGTGTTAAAATGTGATTTTAAAATCAATACTTAAGTATTAAGTGTATATTTTAACACTTAATTTTAAGTATTGATTTTAAAATGACATTTTAACACTTAATTTTAATAATGTACAAAAAATAAAATGTAAAAATTAAGTGTTAAAATGAATATATATAATACCCATGACTAGAACATTAATTATATAGGATCCCATATTTATCAATATTGTACAGTCAAACAGTCTAATACATAAACATTCACAAAATATGGGATCCTATATAATTCATGTTCTAGTCATGGGTATATTGTAGTGTGATTGAACATTGGCTAATGAATGATGACGTAAATAGAATGAATGATTTAAAAAGTGGGTGGAGGGATTGAACTGTTCAACACACTGAAGAAGGCCTTGAGCTGAAACGTTTGTGTTTTGACATTGGTGATGAATGTAAAGCAAACATTAAAAAGAAGATTTTTTTTTTTTTTTTTGTGCGGATCATGGTCTCATATGCTAAAAACGTACACCCAAGTACATTACAGTAATGAGAATTTGAGAGCAAAATGTGTTTAATTGTCATGAAAATATTTTAAATGATAACAAAATGCAAGAAAATCATTAAATAGTCCTCTTTTTATGTATATCGTTAGTGATTTCTTGAGGTTTTGAGGTGAACTGTGAGCAATCTCTCGTCTGTACCCTGTTGTTTGGATGCGCAGCTTCATTTAGCGCTGACCTCCAGAAGAGCCATTAAACACACACACACACACACACACACACACACACACACAGACCTCCAGAAGAGAGAAATCCATTAAATACAACGTCCTAATTGCAGTTATAATGACTCTCTCACAAACACACTAATTGTTATTTACACACACACACACACACACTCACAACTGAACTGTGACCCGTTTCCTCCTCAAGCGACTTCTCTAAACGACTCGAGCTGCTAATGAAGCTCAAACCTGAAAGACAGAGACAGGAGATGCTTTTAGAGTTTCTGCCGTCTGTCTGTGTGTGTTTGACGCTGATGTAATTACACATCAAACACACACACTCACACACACACACACGCACACACACACACACACGTTATTTCACATTACAAAGAATAGTTGTTTGGGGGGGGGGGTGTGAGTGTGTGTGTGTGAAAGTGTGTGTGTGTGTTGTGGTGTGTGTGTGTGTGTGTGTGTGTGTGTGTGTGTGTGTGTGTATTTGTATTATCAGTACTAGCAGCAGCTCTTTATTCCTGTAACTAGATAATGACTCGGGAGCAAAAGTTATATTTTATAAATATTATAAAATATAATGAAATAAAGTAAAATTTGTATTCATATTTTCTATCTATAAAATGTTATTTAATATTTTTATTTAAAATATATATATTTATATATCATATTAAATAATTCGATAATCATAATAATTTAATTATATAAATATTTTCACTAACATGTTGTGTATATATATTTACAAAACCTGTAATATTCCTTTAGTGTGTGTGCATTTATTGATGTAAGATTGAATGTTTGTATTTTCAGTCTGAGTTCTGGCTGCTTTCTACTGTAACTAGATAATGACTCTGGAGGAGCTGGTAAAAAGAGAAAGTGTTTACATCAGTTTTTCGACTGGTTTTTCCTCTTTTCGTCTCGTTGCTTGCTTGAATCCAGCAGCGTTTGTGAGCTGCATCGTGAGAGATGTGAAGAGCTGCAGAAGCAGAAGCAGTTTCTACATGCATTCATTGAGTAATTTCAGCTGCGTTAGACTATAATGGGCAAATTATACATCAATAATGGTTCAGTTCCGCTAATTAGTGCATTTAGCACATCTGTGACGCTCAGCCAGTGATTTTCAGTGTTGTACAGCAGTCACTCAGCAAATCATCTCTGATGTCTCTGTCTGATCATGTGATCAATGCTGCTATCACCAAAACCTTATAATGGCATAAGAGTCATTTTATATCACTATATATATATATATATATATGTGTGTGTGTGTGTGTGTGTGTGTGTGTATATATATGTATGTATAATTTTTT